AAATTAATTACTTTTCATTAGCAATTTGGAATTTGAATAGTTATAAACTGTTCCTTCAAGAAAACACCCAATTGTTTTGCGTGTATTGTTCGGTTATATTGCGTTCTTTATTTTAAATAATTGAGATTTCTATTTTAAATAATCAAATTTTGTACAGACTAGTTTAGGCATGCCATTTTATGTATTAATTTGCGTATTCTTATTGTGTGATTGTCTAAAAGTGTTTATTCGTATATTTATTAACTATATTAGGAAATGTCTATTAGCATAAATCTCCGGAATAATTCTGCTTCGAAGAGCACATACCTGATATGTACGTATGTACGTACGTACGCAAAACTCCCCTTAGCTAACCCACAAAAAATGTTCCTTTGTATTATTAACCAATTAAAATACAGTATTATTTAGGTGTGTTTAGGGTGTGACAGGTGTGTAATATAAAGGGGCGTGAAGAATAGTTTTGTTACATAAAACACATATGAAATCCTATAAAGCTGTTTTCCTAAAATTCACACTTCTACGTACGTAGTATCACACCTATGAAAAACTTTTAAGTGGGAACCTACCTAAAATTAAGTCCGACTCGACTCCATGAAGTCGAGTTTTAATTTAGATTCGGTCTCGAGTCAGACTTGGGACTGAGTCCTAAATCACGAGATTTATATATACTATAATTATATCTCTGATATAACGGCGTAATCATGCATAATATGTGTATGCACGTTGTTGCATAAGACCTAATACAGTAATATTGCATATGACTTAGGACTCGGTCCCAAGTCTGACTCGGGACCGAGTCTAAATTAAAACTCGACTTCGTGGAGTCGGACCGGACCGGACTTTTAGCATCCCTACGCGTACGTACGTACGTACGTACGTATACATTTCATTGTGTCACAATATATTCATAGCGAACAGATTTAACTTTACTACAATGACAATAAATCTAATTCAAATAATACTCATTCTTATTTTCTTCATAGCAAAGAGTCTAATAGTCACAGGAAAAATCTAAAATTAGTAGATCATGCAAGAATTAATTAAAATGTAGCCTGTCATCTTTTATTTTTTGCGTTTATTTAAAAAGTCAATTGTAACTTCGACATCAGCATGTGAAATTTAGAATTCATATTCTATAGAACATCCGAATCACTACTTGATGAGGATATCGTTTTTAAACTATTACTGTCAGAAAAGTTTTCCGAGAAGGATGATTTTGGTGTGCTGGTGTTTGATTCAGATGAAGAATCCGATTCAAGCGAAGAATCATTATTACTGATTTGGGGTTCATCACAATATTCACCATCAGTTATTAAATCTGAAGTCATATTATCGTTGCTTTGATTAACTTGGCCTGTGCTTGCTGAGTTGTTTTCTTTTTTGCCTCTTTGAAGGGAAATGCGTTTAAATAATTTGATGCACTTTGTTTTCTTTGCCCTTTCCAAAGGGAAATAAGTTAAAAAAATCACGCATAGCTTGATTCATAATGTTTTCTTTATTAGTGATTTCTTTCTTATGAAAATTGATTTAGGGTTAAAAGGATTACGCATGTCTTGATCCATGATGAGTGAAATATATTTAAATTTAAAACAATATTTACTAAATAAGCAATTACGTATTAAAGTACATTTCTATCGTTATTCTCTGTTTGCAACGATACCCAAATTGGAACTACAGAGTACGTTCATATTTAGTTCAAATATGTTACGTTACGCCATTTAGAGTTTTATGCAAACAAAACCAGTTACAATATTAACCGTTGAAAATATTTATCCTTTTAAGGTATTTCCTTATTTATTTGCATATACAGTATCCTGATTTACAATGTAAATAGTTCATAAATGTAAATTATAATCTTGATTGTAACAGTAATGCAGGAAAAGAACGAATCCTGCATGGATGTTCTATAGAATAGGTGGGCAAACTCCGCTATTAAAAAATTAATGATTAGGCGAGACCAATTTAATTCGGTGGTTTATATTACCCCCCCCCTTTCTGGCGTGGGTAGTCGGATGTTTGGGTTGGTATTTGCCGCATTTTGCGGTTGTTGTCGTTTTCGGGTGGGATAGGCTGCGGCGCCGGTGG